GGTCTTCGCTTCACAGCTGTAAAAATGCACTTCAAATAGAGAAGCTTATTCTGCCACTGTCAAGTTTTAGAAACACACAGAAGTATGTTTCCAGGTGTTTTGTTTGGCCATGAGACCCCAAAGAAGACCTCAGAAGGGCATTTTTAAACTGGAATTTGACAGGCATTAGTCCAAAGGCACACTACGGCTTTCAGATATATTGGAAAGTTAACTTGGGTGTTATTTTTATTCAGTTATTTTGCTTAATAGCTTGTTTCACCATATACCTAGTCAGTCCCCTATTACACTCACCTGCAGATGTTTGTGTAAGGCTCGTTAGCATGCAGGTTTGGGGCACCTTGACATCTATTTTTAATACAGTCCAAGTCCCCAATAGCCTTTTGGGTAGCCAGCAAAAGAACGTTTTAAAAAGACTAAATGCACATGGCATGCTAACAGCTTTCTAAACTTTACTATAACATACCATTAAGTGTTCAAAACTTTCACAAGCATCAGTAATACAAGTTTTAAAAACAAAGCCCTGGCCACACAGATTTGAAACCATGACCCCAATCCTGCAATGTGATCTGTGTGGGTGTGGAGCGGACTCTGTGCGGGTGGGGATCAGTCTGCTTTAGCTACCACTTTTCTGGAGAACCATGTTTAAATACTGTTCTTGGCAGAAAGATGCTAACACAATTCCAAATTTCTGTGCTGATGGTCTTATTCACCCAACATACAAATAACCTTCTGTAACAGGGAAATAGATAAGTTTTAGGATTATTTTTATTTTTCTGTTATTAAAGTGGTTTGTGGGCCAGAGAAATGTCTGGAGACACTTCCCTTCAGTTCCTTGAGAACAGAATTTAGGAATCCCAGTCCCATGCAGAGTCTAATGAAGTCAACAGAAAAACTCCAGAGTGACTTCAATGGATTTAGGATCAAGATCCTTACCCACAGTTTAGTTTTCAATTAATGGAAGTGAGGTATTTGGAATGAATGCTCTGAAGGACCATCTGGACTGCCAGTTATAAAATCACTTAAAGACCAGTCTCACACCATTGAAGGCAATGGGAGTTTTTCCATGGACTTCCTTGGAAGCAGAATCAAGCCCCCAGGGAAGTGGCTGGGATCTCTACTTTTGAATACAGCCTTCCTTCCACTAATACAAGAGCTAGGATTTTACCTGGGTATTGAAAAGATATTGCAGAGCAGTTGCAACATATACCTAATTCGCAGGCAAAGTAAGAAAACCAGAAAGGAATGATTTTCTAATCACAAAGAGACAATGTGCTGTCACTCTCCCAGGAAGCTTTATGAAGCTTAAAATACTGATGCTGTATTGTGTGGAGAATTAATGAATGTGTAGTGTTATTTGTGATCTTATATCACATTTTCTAATTTGGCCAATTGTTTTTGTTATGGACAAGTACCAATACATTTTATTTTTAAAATACACTAGCTAGACAAAATAATGCCGGGACAGGGGAAGAGATCTGCCAGCACTTGGCACGACGACTTACACCCATGCTCCAAGCTCAGTGGTGGTGTCATGGTGGCCGTGCTGAAAGCCCACATCCTGAAGGCATAAGTGAAGGTTATTAACCACTCTTGTGCTGGGGATAAGAGCAGCATTAGTTCTAATGAGAACACACATTCTTATATATTATAGGACCATTGTGGGAATTTACGGTTCATTTAGTTTTAATTCTTCAAGAAGAAAAAAATGTCCTCTGTGCACATAGCCATTTCATACCACCAGCCAACAGCGTTACTGGGCTTTTTAGTAGCACAACTATACTACCTCAGCCTGCGCTCTCACAAACCAAGGGTATGTCCACACTACAAGTGCTACAGAGGCACACCTGCAACTACATCACTGTAGTGTAGACACATGCTACAGCAATGGAAGGGTGTTTTTGACTACTGTAGTAAATCTACCCCCTCAAGAGGTGGTAGCTAGGTCCACAGAAATTATTTCATCAACATAGCTGCACCTACAGTGTGGGTTAGGTCGACCTAACTATGTTGCACTGTAAAATTTTTCCACATCCCTGAGTGATGTAGGTAGGCTGACCTAAATTTTAGGTGTAGACTAGGCCAAGGAATGACAACATTTGGTCTGTAGTGGCAGGCGGGTAGCCTACTTCTAAAGGTGCTGATGACTGAATAAGCCATTCAGTAGTAGAGGCATTAATTCAGTACACGCCAGGATAATGCTGGGAGGCGAGAGATGCACTGCATTGGCCGGAATTGCCATCTATGGCAAAAGATGAAAAACTAAGGTCCTGACCCCTTACGTTATTAATGATACCCTTGCCCTGGTGAAGAATGTACAGTGTGTCCTGGCCAAATTCAAATGTGTCTAAGGTCACACCCATAGTTTCAAATGAATGTGGGATTCTTGACTTTGCAGCCTTAAACCATTACGTAGGGTTTCTGTGTTATTTGTTAAACTACTGCACCCACGAGGTTGCAGCTTTTCAGTGGTGATAAAACAATCCCTCAATATACCCAAAAAGCACTTGAGATCTGTAAGACTGAAAGACCCCATATTGTACAGAGAGTTTTATTTCTCAGGTCCTAATCCTGCAACCAGATCTGAGCAGGCGGGCCCATATCCCCATGTGGAGTCCCAATAATTGTGATGAAAATCCAAATGAGTCTAAGATTCCACTCACAGAATCAGGGCCTTAGAAATCTATTGCTGTTATGTTATTAGCAGAGTAATTTCTTTGAGCCTTCAGCAAATACAGAACACCAGCTAAATTTTCTCATAGAGTCTAAAGAATTCCCCAGTTTCTCCAGACATGGAGGCAAAGCTGCCATTGCCTGCATTTGAAGGGCACAAAAGGTTTCCTGAAGAGTGGTGTTTGAATGTACATTGCACTGAAATTTTATATTTCAATGTGATGTTCTAGAACCTGTCACAAACATGGAGCCCTAATAAAATCAATTTAAGCTTAATCCTGCTTACTGAAGGTCTGACTCCAGAGAAGCGAGGTGCTTCCCTCCAATCGCTGGCGAACCTACAACCCAGTGTTTGTCTTCACTTACAGTGGGGAGCTTTCGAACAAAATGTACATTAAACAAACCTAAGGTAAAGTCTGTACATCTCCACTTCCCACCCCCTCCAACTCGGATCCCAGGGGAAAAGGGCCAGTCTCTACTCGGCTCACACAAAGGACTGGGGGGGGAGGCTAAACATAGCCATCTTTGCTGCACAAATGAGTACCTCTATTCGGAATAAAACCTCCCCTGCCCCGTGCCCCCAGGCCCGGGGCCAGGCCGCCCAAACGTTGCAAGCCAAGGCGCTGGGCGGGAGCCGGCCCCTGCAGCCGGGCTGAGCGGGGTTCACCCCAACGTGCCAGCCCCCCCCGGCCATGTGCTGCTACTGCCAGGGGCCGGCCCGGCCCGGCCTCCCCGCCCAGCCCCCGCCCGTCCCACCCAGAGCGCCGGGCCTGGCCCCGCCAGCGCCCCACGCGGCCCTGCCCGCCGCCGCCGAGCGCCTAGGCCCCGCGCGCGGCCCCCCGGTCCCCCCCCCCGCCCAGGCCGCCTCGCCCCCCCCGGCCCCGCGCGCGCCCCCCCGCCCAGGCCGCCTCGCCCCCCCCGGCCCCGCGCGCGGCCCCCCCCCCGCCTCGCCCCCCCCGCGCGGCCCCCGCCCCCCCCCGGCCCCCCCCCCCCCCGCCCAGGCCGCCTCGCCCCTCCCGGCCCCGCGCGCGGCCCCCGCCCCCGCCGCCCCCCCCCCCCCGCCCCCCCTCCCCCCCCACCCCCCCCCCCCCCCCCCCCCAGGGCGCCTCACCCTCCTCCCCACTGCCCCCCCCGCCAGGGCGCCTCACCCCCCCCCACCAGGGCGCCTCACCCCCTCGGCCCCCCCGCGCCGCTCGGCGCCCAGCCGGGGCGCGGGAAACGTGCCCGCTGAGCCGAGCCCCGCGCAGGCCGCGCCGAGCCGCCGGCCCCACAGAGCGGGCCCGGAGCGGCCGCCCCCGCCCAGGCCCAGCCAGGGGCCGCTGCGGCGGGAGGCGGGCCCGGGTGGGGCCGGCGCGGGGGGGGTCCAAGGCCCGGCCGGCGGCTCCCCGCGCCGGGCCCGGCTCCCAACATGGCGGACAGGAAGCGGCCCGAGAGCCGCGGAGAATGTTCCAGCCGGGCCGGGGGAGGGGAGCCGGGCCGAGCCCCCGCCCGAGGGGAGCCGCGCCGCCCCCGCCGAGACCGCGCCGCCCCCGCCGCCGGGAAGGTCACGCCGGCCGGGCCGCTCCCCTCCTCCGCCGTCACGGCCACCCCCCGCGCGCCTGCCGGGACCCCCGAGCCCCGGCCCGAGCCCCAGCCCGATCCCTGCCCGCCCCCACCCCTGGCTTGGTTCCCCTCTCCCCCCCCGACCTCCCGCTCCCGCTCCCCGGCCTCCCTCCCCCCCGACCTCCCGCTCCCGCTCCCCGGCCTCCCGCTCCCGGGCCTCCCCCCGGCCTCCCCCCCCTCGGGCCTCCCCCTCCCGGCCCCGGGCCTCCCGCACCTGTTTTCTTCTTCGGCGCGTCCTGGGGCTGCGGGCCCGCGTGCTTGGGCTCATGTTTCAGCAGCGGCTTGGGCGCGGCCTTGGGGCCGGCGTCGGCGCCGTGCGGCGGGCAGGGGCCGTGCGGGAGGAGGTGGAGGTGGTGGTGGTGGTTGTAGTAGTAGTAATGGTGGTGGTGGTGGTGCGGGTGGTGGGGCGGCGGCTGGGGCGGGCCGGGCTGCTCCTCCATTGACAGGGGCTCGCGGGCTGCGGCACCGTGCGGACGCGGGGCGGCTCGCCGGGCACACGCGGGCTCGCGCTCCGGCCGGGGCAGGCGAGAAGAAAGTGGCTCCGGCGCTCGGGCTCCGCTTGACTGGGGGATCGGCGCAGACTGACGGCGCCGCTCCAGCAATGGGGAAGCGGCCAGGGCCCCTGTCCCCGCCCACGGCCCAGCCCCCCCCCCCGCCAGCGCCGTACCATTTACCCTCTGCAACCTCCCCAGGGTGGGGCCTCCAACGTCAGCACCCTGGGCTCAGCCTGCCGCCTTCGCGCTGCTTCCTGCAAACGGCACTTTCCACACGCCCCACCGACAAGCAGGTTTCAGTGGAGCCAAGCAGATTCCATTTCTGGAGCAATCCGATCGGTACTTTTACTTTGGTTTCCCTCTGCATCGACTCTGTTTCCTCCCCTCCCCTCCCGCAAACTGCAGGTTCTCGCCTTAGTTTATTTTTCTAACGAAGGAGGGGAGCTGAAGCACAAGGAAAATGCCAGCAACCCAGCTGGACAGTCATTCACATAGATAAATAATGCAAACGTTTAAAGAAGCCTGCAAATCATTTTGTATTCTGGATCCATTTTGCATTGCATTCAGATGCTAATCTCTTCATTTCCATGGAGGGATTATAAAACTCCACAGGGTAGTGTCTGTGTAATTTTCTAAAAGGGCAGAGTGCAGTTTTAACCAATTTTTCCTTTGTACAGGGAAGAATCAACATTTAAAGTTTCTAAAAGGAAATGAAACACTGCAGGTAAGATCAGTTTTGCTGCTAAGAGAAAGTTCTGATTTAGGACTAGTTTAAATGAAAGGGGGGGTGGATATTTTACCATGTTTTTTTCTAATAATAGTTAAATTAGGGGGGGAAAGAACTCACCCCAAAACAGTGTATTTGGCCGGTCATTTTTTGTATTCCCATTGCTATTATTTCAGGCTTTAAGGATTGAATAAAAGCTTTCTTCCGATTCTGCAGAAAAGTCTGTCATAATTCTATTTTGCAACTCTACAATCTCACATCCTGGAACTGAATGTCATGTCCTGATTCAGATTATGACTTCACTGCAGGATCAAATTAGAGGAAGAATAGGAAGGTTGGGAAGAAGCAAATACTCATTTAAATATAAATGAGCCAAATCCTGCCATCACTTTCCAGGCAATCCCATTTACGTCAGTGAGGTAGCATGGGTGTATGTTTTTAGCAGAATTTAGTTTAAATAACTTTTAAAATTAGCAAACTGAAATTGATTGAGCCAGGGATTTAAATTAGCAAATTATAAATTATTGTATTTGCACTAACACTTACTATTTAAGATGTCAGAGTCTTAGGTGTTGGAACTAGGGGTGCTGTGGGTGCTGCCACATCCCCTTGCTTGAAGAGGTTTCCATTATATGCAGGGTTTACAGTTTGGTTCAATGGCTCTCCAACACTCCTGGTCAGGGTCACAGCTTCTTCAGAAAGAAATTTAATTCAACTACAGGAGTAGGCTGAGAGAGCTGGGACATACTGTCTTATTCTAGAACTCCAGTAGCAGATTATCAGATGAAAGCACGCTCAACCAACTAAACAAAACACAAAATAGAAATGATGGAATCTCACATTGATGTCAATATACAAAGATTCAGCAAACACTGTAAGTGAACATGCTAGGTCAGACCAATTCAAAACATGGTTACATGTGGGACAGACAAGATTCTCCATGACCTTTGCAGGATGTTGTATCCTTGCTTTGCACCATTCACAACAAGCTATCAATAACTCATCACTCGAACACTCAGGGACCCTCTTACCTAGATCTCATCACTTAAGTACCCGTGCAACTCTTCAATCATGTACAACACAAAATTTGGCAAAACAAAGGAGGAAAACAACTACAAGTACAACTACATTGTAGGGAAAGTGGTCACTTTGGATAAGCTATTACCAGCAGGAGAGTGAGTTTGTGTGTGTGGTTTTTGGAGGGGGGGTGAGGGAGTGAGAGAACCTGGATTTGTGCTGGAAATGGCCCAACTTGATCACTTTAGATAAGCTATTACCAGCAGGACAGTGGGGTGGGAGGAGGTATTGTTTCATGGTCTCTGTGTGTATATAATGTCTTCTGCAGTTTCCACGGTACGCATCCGATGAAGTGAGCTGTAGCTCACGAAAGCTCATGCTCAAATAAATTGGTTAGTCTCTACAAGTCCTCCTTTTCTTTTTGCGAATACAGACTAACACGGCTGTTACTCTGAAACTACAAGGAGAGTGTCTTTTAGTGAGAAAAGTTTCCACATAGAAGGAAACATCTATCCCTTGTTATTACCAATACTAGTAAGGAAGAAAATAAGTGTTATTTATGCACTATTTGGCTTAGAATTATTTTGTTGACATAGAATCTGAGAAACATAGGGGTGGAAAGGACCTCAAGAGGTCATCTAGTCCAGTCCTCTGCCCTGAAGCAGGACCAAATATATGTACACCATCCTTGGCAGGGATGGTCTACATATATTGCCTAACCTGTTCTTAAAATCCTCCAGCGTTGGGGATTCCACAATCTCAGTTGGAAGCCTGTTCCAGAGCTTAACTATCCTTATAGTTCGAAAGTTTTCCCTAATATCTAACCTATATCTCCCTTCCTGCAGATTAACCCCATTACTTCTTGTCCCACCTTCAGTGGATGGGAGAACAACTGATCACCATTCTCCTTATAAAAGTCCTTAACATATTTGAGGACTGTTATCAGGGCATGTCTCAGACTCCTTTTTCCAAGACTAAGCATACCCAGTTTTTTAACCTTTCCTCAGTAGGTCAGGGTTTTTGAACCTTTTATCATTTTTGTTGTTCTCCTCTGAACATTCCAATTTGTTTACATCACTCCTAATGTTTGGCACCCATAACTGGACACAGTACTCCAGCTGAGGCCTCACCAGTGCTGATCAGATCAGGACAATTACCTCCTGTCTTTCCCCTGCCTCAGCCCAGGACCTGCACCCCTCCCGCACCCAAACTCTCTCCCAGAGCCTTAGGCAGATGGGGGGGGGGAAGGGGGGCAGGATTTGAACCCGTTCTGGGCACCACCAACAATTATACAAACCTGTTGCCCCGTCACTATTCTCTTTTCACCCTTAAACAGCCTATTTTAGGGACAGCCTTCCAAAATAAAAAGTGTTCTCATGCCATTCGTGTCATGTTGACTACTCTGTACAGAGTATTTGGGCTGAATTTGACACCCAGACAAGTTGGAAGCCTATAGTTTTGCCTAGAAGCAGAACAACACTGACAAGTTTACGCTCAGAGCTCTGCCAGTGAATGCACATGCTGTTCCAGGTTATACTTGTCTGTCATGCCAACTTTTATGTAGCTTTTAATCAGAACTTTACCTGAATGGTTTCATTGCATGGCACCTAGAACACTACACCTAGAACAGAGAAACGGAGGCCTTCAGTCCTCATGGCTGTTCGTCAGCATTTTTCACCAGCACTAAAATTAACTAAAAATGTGAAGTACCAAAAATATATCTTACTCAGAATTATTCTTTACCATTTTTGAAATTATATTAGTAAAATGTAGCTGCAGGAGTATTTTTAGATGACAGAGCTTCTTAAATAAGAGACTCTTCAACCCTCAAGTATAAAACCAGTAACATACATATGTTCTTTATATTTTTAGGTTGTCATTAAAGTATATTTTAAATGTGTTTGATATTGAAATTTATATTGAAATTGTGAATTCTTATAACTTCCAGTATTGTATTTGTGTTTAATGCCTTTTAGGATCTAATTTGAAAATTATTAGTATGATATGAGAAGCAGGCAACAACACCTGTAATTAAGGTTGCCTAACACTTTCTGCTGTAAGAAAGACAGTTTTCATTTCCTTGTATTTTGCCAAATTTTAACTGTTTGGGCTGACATTTTCCATGCTGGTGTCTGCCTCAGGCTAAATCATTCTGGAAAGCTTCATCAAAAATGATTCTGTCATTTCTGAGAACACGGTTAGAGGAAAATAGGCTGTTTTGCCAAGGTTAAACAATTATGATAGTGGTTTTGTTGAAAAATTGTAGCAATGCTTTGCAGCGGGGACTTTGAAATTTGACTAGAGTGGGGGTGTCATTCTGGAGTTGGAGAGCTGCTTTTTGCTGCATTGTGAAATCCACCAACATTTGGCAGAATTGCAGCTCTCTGGGCGCCAGGGGTTAGCACTACTTTCCCTGCAATTGCTGTTCCTGGGCCTCAGGAGCCACTGTGGTGCTTAGTACTAGAACTTAGAGTAGGGAGACTGTCTTTCCTTTTCTCTTAAAATGCTCTCTGGTGGTATACAGGCAGCATGGAGGAGAAGGAAGAAGCACCTTGACTTGAATGCAGCCTGGCGAGTAGCAGAGCAGAGACAGGAGCAGGGTGGGGAGGGACAGAAGCAGAGGAGGACAGGGCAAACTGGGGAGGTCAGGAACAGAAGGAGATCAGTAAGGCAGGCTGGGGGTTGTCATAGATTCCAAGCCCAGAAGGGACCGCTGTGATCATCTAGTCTGACCTCCTGGATAACACAGGCCAGAGACCTGCCCTACAATAATTCCTAGGGCAGATCTTTTGAAAAACCTCCAAAGGTGATTTTAAAATAATCAGGGATGGAGAATCCACCCTGACCCTTGGTAAATTGTTCCAATGGTTAATTACTCTCACTGTTAAAAATGTATGCCTTATTTCCATTATGGGGCAGGCAGAGCTGTCCCTTGGGTATGGCAAATCGGGGCAACCACCCTGCGCCCTGCCTATGCCAGCGGGCACCGCCAATCAGCACCTCCCCCCCAGCACCTCGTCCCTGCCAGCGGGCCCTGCCAATCAGTGCCTCCTCCTCCTTCTCAGCGCCTACTGCCTACCGCGGATCAGCTGTTCCGCGACATCAGGAGGTGCTGGGGGAAGGGGAGAGGAGCAAGGGCATGGCGCAGCACACTCAGGGGAGGAGGTGGAACTGGGCAGGGAAGAGGTGGGGCGGAATGGGGGTGGAAAAAAGGAGGGCGGGGTGGGGCCTTGGGGCAAGGGATGGAGTGGGGGTGGGGCCTGGGCAGAGCTGGGGGGAGCCTCCCCCCTCCCCCGGCAGATTAGAAACTCTGCACCTATGTCCTGGGCTCCATATCCACCTTGGGACGGCCCTGTCCCTGCCGGGTCCCCCCTGATGCCCGTATGGGCGGGGAGCGGTGGGAGTCATTGTTGCCACCCAAAGTGGCCGGAAGCAGTGCGGGTCCCCCTTGCCACCCCCGGTGGCCAGGAGCAGCAGATCCCCCCCTGCCTCCTGTGGTGGCTGGGAGTGGCAGCGGGGAGCTGCGGAGCTCTCCCCTGCCCCTCACGGTGGCCAGGAGCTGCAGGACTACCCCGCAGCTCCCAGCCAGCGCTGGCTGAAGTCACAGAGGTCTTTTGAAGTCACGGATTCCGTGACCTCCGTGACTAAATCGCAGCCTTAATCATAAGGCCTCCACACAAGGGGGCTGAATTAACCTTTCACAGATAACCGTAAAACTGACATTACCTAACTTTTGAGAGCTTGACTTTGCAACCTTAATATACATAATTTTAATAGTTATAATTCAGTAGTGGCCAGAGATGCCAGTCAGAATCTGGGCCCCACTGGGCACTATCAAAGACTGTCACTGCCCCACAGAGTTTACAGATTACAAATGTGATTTATACAAAACGTAGTTGACAGTATACAAATCAAACAGCAGAGGGCATTTTTGTTGTGTAGGTGGTAAAACTTCTCTCACCATAATTCTAACTCCCACACTTACATTTTTTCTTATTAGGGATTTGGGGAATCTGAAACATAATGAGATCTTTGCTAAACCTCCACACTATTTGAGTTTCTTTTTACACATTACAAGGTACACAGCAGCTTAACACTTGGTTTTTTTAAAAAAAAGGTCTTGCATTTCTTGTTGTGATCTGTCTGTCCATATTAAAGGTAGTTGCAATTTGTTCTTTTTAGGGGCTACCAGACAGAGTATTGTGGGACATTGCAACTGGAATTTCCTTACATATTGTCAGCAATAGGACCAAAATCTTCTGTTGTTCTGCTCTCCTCCCCATGAAGATGAGTTGTGCAAGTGGACTCTCTCCCTCTCCTCTCCCCACCAGCTGAGTTTGCAGCTCAGAGTACAGGGCAGGAGGGAGATAAAAAACCCCAAACAAAAGGAATTTGGTATCTCTACGCTGCTTGGACTCTGAGGGGCAAAGTGTTTGTCAGCATAAGCAAGAGATCCGCAGCTGCTTAGCCTGGGTTAGCCTGTTATAGTGTCTGAAGAGTTTACACGTGATAATTGGTTGGTGGAGTCTAAGTATCGAACTCACCGCCTATTTGGGGTTTGTGCCCTGCTTCCTAGCAGTCTGCCCTGAGGTTGGCACTCGCCCTCTGCCACTGCATGCAGTGTTACAGGGGCATTCCCTGCAGTCCGTGGCAAATTCCCCATTCAGCTCGGCAAAATGTCGGTGACTCAGGAATAAGGATCCGATGAAGTGAGCTGTAGCTCACGAAAGCTTATGCTCCAATAAATTGGTTAGTCTCTAAGGTGCCACAAGTACTCCTTTTCTTTTTGCAAATACAGACGAACATGGCTGCTACTCTGAATTCAGGACAAATTGCTTAAAGCAGGGCAGTTACAGCCCAAGGCTGGGGTTCCTTTGCACACCAAGCCAAACCAAACCAGCCAAACAGAGAGGACCTTGGTTTTACCCTACTGGCTAACCACAAGTCACACAAGCAATTCCCTTAGACACTCCAGTTTCCCAGTATCACCACCAGGGCCACTCGTTATGGGGATGAATGGTTATGAAAACCAATACCCCAGTAAAAGAAAAATGGTTCTCTCAATCCCAAAGGACCAAGCCCCAGACCCAGGTCACTTATACAAACAGATCTTACCCACAAATCACGCTGTTGCCAATCCTTTAGAATCTAAAATCTAAAGGCTTATTCGTAAAAGGAAAAAGATATAGATGAGAGCAAGAGTTGGTTAAATGGAATCAATGACATACAGTAATGGCAAAGTTCTTGGTTCAGGCTTTTAGCAGTGATGGAATAAACGGCAGGTTCAAATCAAGTCTCTGGAGAACATCCCCAGCTGGGATGGGTCTTTCAGTCTTTTGTGTAGAGCTTCCGTTTGTAGCAAAGTCCCTCCAGAGGTATGAAGCAGGACTGAAGACAAGATGGAGGAGCTGCAGCAGCTTTTTATAGTCTCTTGCCATGTGGTCTCTGCTTTCTTTGTCCCAGAGACCAGCTGCCCATCACAAGGCATGGAAACACCTCAGAGTTCTGTCCATAGGCAGGTCCCTGCAGACCTTGCTGAGTCCCAAGGCGCGTCTGCCTTCTCTCAGTGGGTCAGTGGTATAGCTGATGGTCCTTAATGGGCCATCCAGCAGGCTAGGCAGAGCTGACACCAACTTGTCTGGGGTGTCACCCAGATACATAGTATAAGTTTGAAATACAGACAGTATAGAGCCAATATTCATAACTTCAACTACAGAATGATACACACATATAGACACCATAATCATAATCAGCAAACCATAACCTCTCCATAGACCCCTTACACGACAACCTTTATGCAATATGTGCTGCAAATATATAACAGGGGTTGCAACAGTGATCTATATGGTTACAGATTATGTCAATAATGTCACACATGTCTTTAAAATACACTGCTTCTCTGAGTATTCACTGTCCAAAAATGTGCAAATTGAGATCAATAAGGGCTGAAGTAGCTGTTTCAAGTTGTATCAAGGATATAACAAAGTTTAATTATGGAGATGGTGGCCTTTATTCCGTACGGTGGAAGTTTGCTTTAAATAATGCTGGGGACTAATTCCAGTGATTTTTTCCTAAGAACAACAAAATATTTCTTTCCAAACTCACCATTCTGTGAAACATCTAGAAAAATTTCTGTGAAAATTTTAAATTATTTTATTGATTAAATTACAAATTAGAAGCATTTAAAATTAACCAGTTTCAATTTTTTTTACTGTCTTTATAATATTTTGTGTATCTCTGGTTTAACATTTTTAAAACTTAGAACATCAGACTTACTGTGTGTCTAAATATTGATCATGGCCCTAGCACAGAATTTAATTCTATATCAATATTTCACCAAGACCTTGAAGCTGCAAAGCAGTGAGCACTTTGACCCCAACCCAACAAAGCACGTAAGCATGTGTTTAAGTTTGAGCATGTGCATAGTCCCATTGCTTTGCTGGATCAGGGTCAGACTGCTCAGCACCTGGCAGGATTGATCCCTTGATGATGAATGCATTGTACTGCAGGTGGAGAGGCACTGCACAGCATAGAATGCATTTACTAAGGCCTGGTCTACACTGGGAGGGGTGGGGAGAACGGGGGATTGATCTAAGTTATGCAACTTCAGCTACATGAATAACGTAGCTGAAGTCGATGTACTTAGATCTACTTACCGCGGAGTCTTCACTGTGGTAAGTCGACGGCTGACGCTCTCCTGTCGACTCCACCTGCGCCTCTTGCCTGGTGGAGTATCGGAGTCGACGGGAGAGCGCTTGGCAGTCGATTTATCGTGTCTAGAATAGACACGATAAATTGACCCCCGCTGGATCGATTGCTGCCCATCGATCCAGCAGATAATGTAGACAAGCCCTAAGGCTATATCTACACTAGAGCTGTACTGATCCAGCTATGCTGCTGTAAGATCTCTTGTGTAGCCAGGAGAGAGCTCTCCTGTCAACATAATTAAACCACCCCCAATGAGCAGCAGTAGCTATGTCAGTGGGAGAAGCTCCCTGAGCAACATAGGTTTTGCCGACATAAGTGGTAGTGTAGACGTGGAATAAGGGTTGCAGCCACGATTGACAGGTCCTCAATTAAGATGTCAAAACACCCCCTGCAGTGGGTGACTCTAGCATCATCCCCTGCAGTCTCCTCTCCTCCTGAAGGGCTCACCACTTCCTTGTTTCTCCTCAAGTCCCATCCAGCCAAGCTGACTCAATTCAGTACATTTTAATTGAGTCCAGACATACCTTATTGGCAGGACAATTGCTGTTAATATGCAAGAGTCATGGAATACTCAGATCTTTGTCAGAGGCTGGTATAATCTGCCCAGGACAGAGTCATGCAATGGGGACCAGATTGCTCTTGCAGCCTTTCACCTCGAAGATAAGGGTGCATATATTCTCACTGGATCCAGTTACTACATTAACAAGAGAACATAACGTTGCGTCTAACCTGGAGTCCTGTTTCGTAATAGTCTTGTCCATGTTAAGTAAAGTGGAGTGTATCATTGAACTCCATTTCTCTGTTACACTGTGAACATTATTTGCGGCCACAAAAAAAGACAATGTGAAGGATCCTGTGTATGGAGTCTGGGACTGAACTCACCCAGAGAGATCTAGCAGATGTAAAAGAGAATGTGAGCTCTTTTTGGCTGGTAGAAATGGACATGTTGGGCACTTACATTTCTTTCTCTCTCCTGTCTAACAGTTTAAACATACCCATTGAACAGCATGTACTTTATCAAATCTTTTGTCAACCACATTCAAGACGTATCCTCATGACCACCATGTTGTCAATTCTTCATTTACTCTCCAAAACTACTCCATTAACTGAAAGAAAAGGAGTACTTGTGGCACCTTAGAGACTAACCAATTTATTTGAGCATGAGCTTTCGTGAGCTACAGTTAACTGAATTACTGGAGAGCTTGTTAACTTTCATCCCTAAATTAGGGTTATTCAAAAAGCTTAGAAATCGTTTCCTCTTTCACAGGTAATGACAGTATCAATCAGCATTTCACAGGGAAGTATCGGTATGAAATACCTGATTTTTCTAGGCCTCAGGCCAGAACGGTGTAAATGGGCCTTCATGTAACAGGATCAGACCCAGGGTGTTTTGTGTAGGCATTAGGTGGCATTTGTTTCTGGTGGCTAGGTCCATGTTTTAGTAGGACTGGATCTGAGGAATGTCCCTTCTTGTAAAGGTTTCAGAGTAGCAGCCGTGTTAGTCTGTATCCGCAAAAAGAAAAGGAGTACTTCTGGCACCTTAGAGACTAAAAAAATTTATTTGAGCATAAGCTTTCGTGAGCTGTAGCTCATGAAAGCGTATGCTCAAATAAATTTGTTAGTCTCTAAGGTGCCAGAAGTACTCCTTTCCTTCTTGTAAACACATTCTTGTGATCACACAGAAATGGGTAACATCTTCTGCCTGAAACATGAAACTTGTTTCCTACAGTGTGACCAGGTAAACTGGAGGCGGGTTCTTGGATGCAAAAGGGAAGCCATGCAGGAGGCAGGCTGGCAGGTCAGCCTCAGCCAAGCCTGCCGTTGAGCCTCTGCCTTGGTGACTTGTCCAAGATTTCACAGAGACTTGGATTTATATCTCCACCCAGGCTCTCGCCGCCTTGGATCATGAAGGGACCTGGTATACTCCTCATGAATCCTGCTCTCCAGGCTGCAGACAATGCCACAGAAGGGCCACAGACCTACTGCAGCAGGGCCCCAGAACAGCAGCAACCAAGACAGGCTCATTGTCTCTCTGGGCAGGGCAAGTATCAGTGGCTGCTTGCAGGGGCCTCTGATCTCTGGAAGACAAGACAAATACTTTAGAAAACCAAACACTCTGTGTCTGTTCCAACACACCGTTATAAGGTCACTCATTCATCCACTTCATTTCATTCACAGTTGGACATGAAACATTTCTTTGGTGCAGGGACTTGTGTGTGTAGAGCAGAGTGATTAGCACAGGAGGGCACAATCCCTGGTTGGGAGTCTCTCAGAGCTACCACAATACAAATACATATCAAAAATACTATTGATTTTCGTAGTTATTTTACTATTATTGTTTTATTCATTTAGCAGAATTCCAGGGGGCTCAGAGATGGTTGACTAGAATGACTACGGCATGGAGAAGCTCTCATTTGAAGAGAGATTGAAATAAATGGAACTGTTTGCCTTAGAGAGGAGATGCGTAAGGAGAGAAAGGAAAGGTATACAAGGTTATGAATGGTCTAGAGAAGGTAGATTAGAACTTCGAATAAAAAATCCCCAATGGCCAGAGGTGGGACACCAGAGGGGGAGGGCTCTGAGTTACTACAGACAATTCTTTCCCAGGTATCTGCCTGATGGGTCTTGCCCACTTGCCCAGGGTCTAACTGATCACCAGATTTGGGGTCAGGACATAATTTTCTCTTGTGTCAGGTTAGCAGATTTTTCCTCTTCCTCTGCAGCAAGGGGCACAGGTCACTTGCAGGCTTAAACTAGTGTAAATGATGAATTTTTTGTAACTTGAAGACTTTAAAGCATGATTTGAGGACTTCAGTAAATCAGCCAGAGGTTAGGAGTTTATTACAATAGCGAGGTTCTGTGGCTTGCAATGTGCAGGAGGTCAGACTAGAGGATCACGATGGTCCCTTCTAGCCTTAAAGTCTACGAGTCTAGGAGAACACAAGAACAAGGGCACATTCAGTGAAACTGAAAAGTAGAAAATTCAAACCTGATAAAAGTTAATGATTTTTCACACATTGCACAATTGGCATGTGAAACTCCTCGCCACAAGATATAATTGAGGGCAAGACTTGAGCATGATTCCAAAAAAGGTGGCAGTTTATATGGCTAACAAGAATATCCAGAGTTATTATAGTAAATATTAATATATAAACTAGGGTGTGAGCAGGGTGATAAACTCTCCTACTTCAAGGCATAAACCAGCTTCTGACTGCTGGGGGTTCTGTTACTGGTATTGCAGTAGCTCCATAGGACCCAGTCAGGGATCAGTAGCAGGGCTAGACACATGTAACAAAAAGACCATGGCTGCTCCAAAGAGCTTACAATCAGAGTGTAAAACAAGAACCAATAGAAGGAGACAGACAGACGGGGAGGGAAGTGTAAGGCAACAATAAAACAATTACGAACCGCATACTAAGCAGTGATCATAGTATATCAGCTATGATCACAAACACCTACCACAGGGTTCATGCAACTTCCTCTGAAGCATCAGATACTGGCCATGGTAGGAAACGGGATACTAGGTGAACCCCTGAATTTGATTCAGTATTGCAATTCCTGTATTGTATGAATTGTTTAGCATTTCTTAAGCACCGGCACTGTACAAGACACAAATTAAAGCTGATCCCTGCCAAGTTGCTTACAATTTTAAGGCCCTATCCTGGAATCAGAGCCACACAGTCAGACACACACACATGGCCTCCCACTGGCTTCAGGGGGCCCCTACCCATGTGGATCTGATAGCAGGATTAGGGCCCAAAAGACAGACACAGAAAAGTCAGGAGGCACTGGGATGCCCCAAGAATGAATAGCCTGGGGTGTTTTTTATGAAAATGACTCATTTCTTGTGTGCAACACTGGAGAAAGGAGTCTTTAGGTGGGATCTTGATGTTGGCATAGGCCTTGTCCACACTACACAGTTTTGTCGACAAATGTTGGGTTTCGTTGACAAAACAGTGGAGGTGTACACACTGCAATGCTCCTTCTGCCAACAAAACTCTTCTGCTTGGTTATGTTGCTGTAAATGGCCTCCAGAAAGTATCCCACAATGCCCATCCTGACAGCTCTGGTCAGCAGTTTGAATTCCGCTGTCCTGTACCCAGGTACGCAGTCATCCGCCCCTTCCCTTTTAAAGGCCTCGGAATTTTTGATATTCCACTTCGTTTGCTCGGTGTGGAGAGCTCTCATCGCATCTTCCCAGCTGACCATGGCAGCTCCACATAGCAAATACTCACCGCTTGGACCACAGCTGAGTTGTTGGATCTGCTGGCACTGTAGGGAGAGGACGCTGTGCCATTCAAGCTTCACTCCAGCCATAGGAACTTCGATACATATGGTCAGATTTCTTGTGGCAGGTTGGTTAATGGCTACGAACAGGACACACATCAGTGTTGTGCAAAGATAAAGGAGCTGAGGCAAGCGTACCAGAAGGCAAGGGAGGCAAACCGTAGCTCTGGTGCTGCACCAAAGACCTGCCACTTCTGTAAGGAGCTGGATGCCATCCTTGGCGGCAACCCCACCTCCACCGCCAAGAAACCCATGGATGCTTCAACAGGGCTAGAAGTGGCAGACGATGGACTCAACCCCAAGGACGTAGACATGGATGAGGAGGTTGAGTTGGAGGATGATATGGAGCACACAGCAGGGTCGTCTGGTGGCACGGCAAGTCAGGACCTCTTTTCCACTCTGGAGGAGTCTTGCCAATCCCAACAGTCTGTCTCTAGTGTGTGATCATAGAATAATAGAATATCAGTGTTGGAAGGGACCTAAGGAGATCATCTGGTCCAACCCCCTGCTCAAAGA